ACGTTTGATATTACATGTCCCCGTGCATCATCTGTTATTAAATAAATCCTTAAGAATCTTTATGCAATAAGGCCTGCCAAAGCCAACGAAAGAGCCATTTCCTCCCAAGAATTAATGCACTCAGATGAAGTGGCCTTATATATATATCTCAGCACCTTATATATCTTTACAGCCTCCAGCCATTTGAGGTGGTCCATCCATGTTGTTTTGACTATTAGCACTGCCCCTTCAAAGTCCACAGTAATGCCTGGGTCAGAAACATATACTGAGAGTGACATGGTAGCTCTGTTGTATTGTATGTCTGATTTGTGTTCTCTTATTCTTACCCCCATCAAGCATTTCATTGATCCCATGTAGATCAAATCCCTACTGAATCTTTCATCCCTAACAGGGATTCGATAGATGCCTGGCAATTTAATCAGATCAGATGGGTCCTTTCCATTACGTAACATGTCAAACATAGTTGGGCCTCTCTTGTATGTAATGATGACATTACATTTTTTGGCGATAGTTGTATATACAGATCTCAAGACGGGGTTGAATGTAAGCAAAACCCTTTCAATATCAATACCGTGGTTGTCCCCCAGTGTCAACACAGAGGTGTTCTGAGACATTTGTGCTCTTTTGTGGCATTCTGAGATTCTCGGAATAAGATTGTGGTAGCCATGTGTATCGGCAATCTTCTCAATGTGTGTTAACTCTTCCCTAAGAGCCTCTTGAGTAGATGAATAAGTGTATGCTCTTCTAACCAATGATCTAAAAGCAGCTAATTTGTATTGGAACGGGTCAAATGAGTCACTCGGTATGTATGTGGGGCTTGCACATGGTTTATGATAGACAGTAGTGTGGATGTTGGGTCCCTGAATCCTGATATCAACATCTAAGAAATGAACATTAGTGTCGCTGTATTGATCCACTTCAAGTGACAGCCATAGGGATTATCATTCATCGCTTCAACAAACTGTGCCAAGTTTGGTGTTGTTTTCCATATAATAACAACATCATCTACGTATCTTCTATATAGCATGATGTCCTGATTTTAACATTATTGATCCACTTCAAGTGACAGCCCATAGGGATTATCATTCATCGCTTCAACAAACCGTGCCAAGTTTGGTGTTGTTTTCCATATAATAATGTGACAATCTGACGGTGTTCTTGAGATAATTAATATAATTTTAACGTAATAAATAATATATTTGAATTTCACTCAACTATATAAAAAGAATGATAAAATTTGGAATAATTAATAAAACATAACCTAATAAAGTTATAAATTTTTACATCCTGTGAAACTGCTCTGTCATGTAGCACTTTTTCTAGAACTGAGGATGTTTTGCTTCCTTCCTCCACGCCTCGTATCTTGGAATTTTGCACGCCACCTGCTGAAATGTCATAACCAATTTCTAAGAAAAATATTATGAAATAATTGGGGATAAAAGGGCTGATTAGCAGACTCTCGGGGAGTTCGTTCAGAAATTGCCATAGTGAGAGCTCCCAGTCAAACGACTGAACCTGTCCCGACTCCACCTTCCTTCGAAGAGATCAACAAGGGTCAACATGAACAACGAGGTAATATGATTGTAAACCCCTCTCTCTCGGGTTAGATTAATTTAACATAGAGATAAGATTCATCCATACCTAGGTATCCCCCATATTGTTATTACTTTGTATTATGTTATTCCTTTATATCCATTATATTGTAGTATTGTTAGTAATAATTAAACTGTTAATTTTATATTTAATGTCCTTCTTGTCTAGTATTCATTACTTATGCACAACCCACACAGAATCTTACCACTCGGGTTCTGAGAAAAATTAAGCCATCCAGTGACAAAGTGAGCAGGTCTAACAGATCTGACGACTGGACCCTTGACCCTCGTCCGTATTCTCACAATAACAATGTCATCTACATATCTTCTATATAGCATCATGTCCTGCAAGAATCTTGGAAAGGTCCTAGACTCGAGTTGTCTCACCATTAACTCACATAAGTCTCTGGACACCAGACTGCCTATCAGGACCCCTCTCGATTGTGAATATGTTATGAATAAGAGAACACAAATCAGACACAATACAACAGAGCCACCAAGTCACTCTCAGTATATGCTTCTGACCCAGGCATTACTGTGGACTTTGAAGGCGCAGTGCTAATAGTCAAAACAACATGGATGGACCACCTCAAATGGCTGGAGGCTGTAAAGATATAGAAGGTGCACACTTCATCTGAGTGCATTAATTCTTGGGAGGAAATGGCTCTTTCGTTGGCTTTGGCAGGCCTTATTGCATAAAGATTCTTAAGGATTTATTTAATAACAGATGATGCACGGGGACATGTAATGTCAAACATAAGAATATTGCATCGTATAGGAAAAATACATGCGTATGAGAAGAATTAATGCGAATCTGAACAGCGGGGAACAATGCGTGTGCAATGGGCACTGGACAATCAAACTATCATCGTTCGATTTATTTTAAAAACTTTGTGACGGTGCTCCAAAAGAAAGAATCCAGCTAGATTACCTGATGAAGAGTACATAAGGTGTTCAGAAAACATTTGTTGTTTTGAATTTTACCTTTTTCACACCGTTTAGAGGCTTGAGTTAGTTGAATTTTTATTATACACAGCCCGGTGTGCGTGTAGAAGTTATACTATAATAAGTTCATTCATGCTATAATAAGTTTATTCAGCTATAATAAGTCAACGTGTTATAAATATTCAAGTTGTGACCTTCAGTTCTGACATTTTATATATTTTTTATTTTAATCTAAAATATCAGCAAATGTTACATGTATTACTACTGATAATCATATGTTTATTACAAAAATTTATATTCTTGTTCGATATGAAGTGAATAAAGTATATTAGTTCATTATACTAGTTCATAGCAAAATAAAGTTTTGATTTCAAACAAATGTTTGATATAATGTGTGATAATTTCACAACAAATAAACAAACATGCATAAGTGTTATATAGAGTTGTACAAAACAATTTTTGAGTTCAACAGATGAACTCAAAAATTGTTTTCTGTCTCAGTGCCAGCAAAAAACTAGGTAACTAGACAATGTTAATTTTGACAAAAAGCTATAAATTATCAAGCTTATATGTCAGTTCTGATATATGCTATTTTCTTTCTTATAAATTTTTCTAATAAAATGTATTAAAAAATATTGTATTTAAAACTAAAGATATTAATAAATGTATGTGATTTTTTCATATGAATATAATGATAATTTGATTTTTGGTGAATTTTTAAAATAATATCACCTGACTGACCTATATTGCCTTAGGACAGATTACAAAATAATCATAAACAAGACTGCGGTGGTAATGGGTTAAGTATCATCATATTATATATAGTAGTGTGTCGTTTATCCGAATCAATTGGGGAATGCAGTTGTTCGGATAACTTATTTTTTGGATAATTGATTATGTAAGAACAAATATATTAACCTATTCCATATTCAAATTTTTCTCTGTTGTGTGTTGCTTTGTGTTGAATTTTCGTCAATGTTAAGCCTAACAAAAATTTTTTTAATAATAATAATCGTGGCTATTGTATCGTTAAAAATTATTTCTTTATTTTGTACAAACAAAATAAATATATTGAAAAATATAAAAACAAAACAATCATACTTTAGAAGTTAATCTAGTATCAAAAATGTTTGATTCAGCATGACACAGTCTGACTGGAACGCTTTCGGTTAACCAATGTTTCAGTTGATCAGCTTTCGGATAAACAACACTCTATTGTATATACATCTAGTGATATTCAACAAAAATTTCACAGTTCAGAAATCATGAGCAACATGCAGTCACTTCATTCAATGAAAAAATTAAATTTATTCTTTTCTTCTTCTTTTATCTTCAACATGAAACTGAATGTTAATTTATTGTTACAGACTGAATGTACAGGTATACCTCGACTTACGTTGTTCCCGATTATACGTCGTTTGTCAAAAAAGTATATGGAAAAATAAAAATCAAGTTTAAGTTATTTTATTCGACTTTACGCGTGTCCATCACAAATATTGAAGTCGTAATATCACTAGAAAAATGTTTAAAGCACATAAAATCATATTAAAATATATACATTTACAACTATGTACTGTATTTACAGTACATGCATTCGTAAATTTAGATTACTTTTTTCTGTACTATATTAAAAACTAAAATTTGTTTGTTTGTAAGCTTAAAATAGATCCTTATTAACCATACATTATTAAAAATGCATTAATAAATAAAATACAGAACCGGAATTGGCAATTTATGGTTTAGCCTAGTGACAAGTAGATTTGGAGACAAGTAAATTTGACTTACGTCATTTTTTGACTTAAGTCATTCTCCTGGAACCAATTACCGACGTAAGGCGAGGTATACCTGTATTATTATGTTGGATTTAGTAGATTATACTCAGTTAACACCGATGGCTGTGTACTATGCTGGACCAGAGTCAAGGCATAGCAACCAGAACAAAACTAAAATGAAATAAGTGTGTCAGTGTCTGTATTCAGGAATTTCCTGATAACATGACATGTCTTCAATATAGTGGCCTTCTTTAGTGTTATTTATGTATTTCTATTCAATTGTAATGTTCCTGGGCTTTTGTGTAGTGTGTGTGGTATCACCTGTAGAGGAGAGAACAACATGTACAATAAGCACTCTATCCATCCTCCACAGATGCCTTATTTTCTGAGCAAGTTCTGTATACTTGATAATTTTTTCAGTGAATCTGTTTTGTTTATTGTGAGTGTTTGGAATGGACATATCTATAATGTATGTGATTTTATTGTGTTTGTCAATGAGTGTGATGCCTGGTCTATTGTGGTAAACTGTTTTATCCGTGATTATGACTGTCATAGTATTATTATTATTATTATATTAAATAAAATAACAACAATATTATCATATAGGAATATTAAATAGTGTCCAATACTTTCTTATGATAGTATTTAAAATAATTACAAAAAAAAAAGGAAAACAAATTTATCATCTTACCCTTGCTGTCTTGTTATACTTTCCAACCTTTCCATCATTGATTGCAGTGATGTTACTAATATAAGAAATAAAAATAAATCATTACAATTAAAAAATAAATAAAATCAAAAACAAGAAATATAGAGAATAATTTAAAATCAAGCAAAATTTTAAATAATATAAATTTTAAATTATAAAAATACACTCTCTTCTAGTTTCTTCATTAAAAAGATATCTGTTTCATGACAATACTTGCATTTTGGTGCAGTTAAATTAATATCTAGCCTATTTTATATTTTCAATCCCTAAAAATGCTTTTTATTTCTTTTTTTTTATTTTTTTGTAAAAATTTCTGTTGAACTTCCTTCAGTTCATTATGTTATTTTCCATCACAATTTACCATGATATACTGGTTACATGCTGACTGATCATGCTGAGCAATCTTTCTGATTGTGATAAATGAACTTTTTATCTGTCTATAAAAAGTTCTGAAGATTCTGAAGTTATTTTGCTTTGAACAAATGCAGCTTATATGACAGATGCATTTCCTTTGCTTAAAGCCTTTGCCTTCTACTCTAATTTAATACATGTTACTTGTTTGGCACATACCTTATGCACAATATGTGAATTTCCAATAGTAAATAATTTGGATATCAGCAATGAAGAAGGTATTTTGCAAAGCACCATCATAAATTGCAAGATTTAATAAAAAATTTCTAACGCTTCAATTCGAAGCATTGAAGCATTAGAAATTTTATTAGTTATGGCACCTGGAATCAAAGCACTTCTGTATTATTGTGATCATTTAGAAACAGTCACTGTAGTTTTGAAAGAACTCTCTAATGCTGAACATGTGATGTGCTTGGCAACTGCTAAACAATATCCTCAGAAGACATCTTGTATATATATTCAATCCAATTTTTATTTCTACCTGTGGTCATTAGGAGAAATACCTGTCTTCTGGTAAACAGATTTCATTAATATAGAAATTGAAAACTAAAATAAATAATGTTTCTAAGAAAGTTAGATAAAAAAATACTGATTAAGTTAAAAAGTGTGTGCCAGGCTATGTCAAGAGATGTGGACACACTTCCAGGAGTGTAGATTTAAAAAATGTAACTACATTTTAAACATGCACTAATCTGTAGCATATCAGTGGAAACAGCATTCTCCATCCATAAAATGGTGCTGTTAGGAAAAAAAACCAAAGATTTACAATTGCTAACTTAGAGAAAGTAATTGCAGTGTATTTTTTATAATTACAAGTACAGAAAATTTGCAATTTTACTGAATATTCATAATTTTATTTTGTATTACTGCTTAATATATGCATTTGCTCCTATTCATATATCAATTAGTCTTTAATCTCTTTTCATAATATATAGTACAAAAATTGTTTGCCTTATATTTAAAGATGTTTACCTAACTGATGATAGCCATTTACACCAAGGAACCAAAATGCATATTAGACATATAAGGCAGTAATAGTTTCATGTGTGTGTTAACCTTTCAAATAAATAATGTACTATGTATGTGTAAAAAGTATTTTTGTACTATATACTCCTAACCACTCATTCCTTTATATTATAGGGCTAATTTTAAGTGCCTATTTCAGGCACCTAAAACTGAATTTTTTGCTGCTAGAAAATCTAAAGTTTATTAATGATTCAGATAACTTGATTAAACATTCATTCCAAAAAACAACTATTTTAAATTTTAACTGACATCAAGAGATTTAATTTATATATTAATTAAATAAAAATTAGAATAATAGTTCTTTTATACCTTTAATGGATTTTTGGATGGTATCAAGACATTTCTGTAATTGATTTCTTTCAATATTATCAATCAGATGACGTTTATCCTTAAAAAAAAAAAATTATTTAAACAGAAAGTAAAGACATTTTGGCTTTATTAACATTATATTATATTACAAATTACTGTACAAATAAAAAGGTAAATACGAGGGCTATTTTTTAAATAAGGTCCATTTGTGAATGAGAGTGAGAATGACAAGTGATTGCGGCAGTGCACATGTGCGTCTGCTCTGAGCATGCTTTGCGTGCATTTAGACACCATTTGCAGCCGTATTGTCTGTCTGTGTGCTGAGATCTAAAAGTTTATAATGTTTAAGAAAATTGAGTTGCCCGCCGACTATGAGATATGATCTGTTATTCGATTCTTGAGAGCAAGAAACTTGGCAGCAGTGTAAATTCACCATCAGATTTGTGAAGTTTATGGTGATAATGCTATGAATGATAGCAAAGTTTGAAAAAGGGTGAGAATGTTCAAGGACCAGAGGGTTAATGTTCATGATGAGCCATGCCGTGGCCAACCTTCTCTGATTTCTGAAGATTTGGTTTGTGATGTGGATAACAAAATTCGAGAGGACTGACAATTTACAATTTCAATGTTATCAATTGAATTTCCACAGGTTTCAAGATCAGTTTTGTATACCATTGTTTCAGAGAAACTGAATTATCGAAAATTGTGTTCTCAGTGGGTTCCAAGACTGCTTTCTGACAATCACAAAACAAAAAGATTGGACAGTGATTTATCGTTTTTGACTCGATACGATCAGGAAGGATATGAATTGTTGGACCACATTGTTACAGATGAGACTTGGGTGTCTCATATGACTCCTGAGTCCAAGCAACAGTCAATGAAATGGTGACACACATCTTCGCCAACCAAAGTGAAAGCCAAACAGTCCATTTCAGCACAAAAAATTGTGGCAACTGTCTTTTGGGACAGGAAAAGGATTTTGTTAGAGGATTTTATGCCGAGAGGCATAATAATCAATTCTGATGCATATTGTGTGACCTTGAGAAAATTCCAGCATGCCATACAAAACAAATGGCATGGTCTACTGTCTTCCAGTGTGATGTTGCTCCATGACAACACAAGGCCACATGTTTCTGCACAAACACAAGGTCTAATCAGTTCTTTTGGATGGGAACAACTGGATCATCCACTTTACAGTTCAGACCTTGCACCCAGTGATTTTCACTTGTTTCAATACTTAAAGAAGTTTTTGGTGGTTAATGGTTCAACAATGACGAAGAAGTGAAAACTGCAGTCATGGATTAAACTTTTTCACAGGCGGCAGATTTCTTTGAAGTTGGAATTCAAAAAATTGTTGAATGGTATGACAAATGTTTAAACAAAAATGGAAATTATGTAGAAAAGTAGATAAAAGTATGTAGAATATGGGAAAAAATATATTTTAATGATATTTACAGTATTTTTCTTCTTATTGAAAAATGGGCCTTATTTAAAAAATAGTCTTCATACTATTAAATCTAACTATAATACAAAAAAAATTTGTGTTAACAGAATCAGAATTAATATACAAAAATTAATAATAAGTCTATAAAATTCATTTAGAAATAGGTCTAATAAAACATATTTATTTGAAAAATCTATTAAAGAAATTATTATATTACAAACACCTTCCACATATTTATTTACTAATTATTGTTTAAAAATATTTTACTATCATCTGTTACTACTTTCTTAATAATATATAATATACTTTAAAAAGGCATTATTTTTTATGTAAGAAATAGACATTAATTAAAGATCTCAGAGTTTTATTTATCTTGTCTTTGCATTTAAATATAACTATGAAATATAAAAAAATACTTTAATTTCCTGCCTACAATCTATAGAAGTAAGTTTTCCTTGACAAAAGTTTATTATCATATAATTTGTACAAGCTCATGTTATCTTTTAATTGCTTTTTGGCAAATCATCAGCAATGATATTATACAAGTTGTAAGAACATTTAATAATTAAAAAAAAAAAAAAAAAGGTTCTCAAATCTAAGAAAAAAATTAAACAATTCATTAGATTTCTGGATTTGAATTCTGTTTGATTAACATTATAAAAAGACTTAGATATATTAAGTTTCACAATTGCAGAAAAGTAGCCTGATGTAATCTGATGGTTGTTTGAAAAAGCATATTAAATGCAACTACAGTTAATGATCTTGAATGTTCATTTTGTTGTTTTTTCATTTAAATTAAGGTAGATGTTCCAACTGTAAAAGGCTTATGAAAGTCGGTTGAAAATGTTTTATATTGAAATATATTGTTGGAGTCATACTAGGTGTACTGCCTCTTTCACTCTTGTTTTCTCCTTTATTTGAATATAGTAATAAAATATAGATACATATATTCAATACTTTCATAAATTAACACTGAACATGTTATAGTGTGTGTTAAGGATGGAAAATCTGCAGAGTTACTTGATGTTATGCTATATCAAACAACTACAGATTTTGTCCCATATTTTTTGCCGATGACAGAGTGTGGTGCAAACGTGCCAATCACAAGAAGTGGAAGAATACAGAATAATTTTTACATTCTGTATGAAGTAAGGATGAATAGACTATAGATTTGATTCAAAGTCTGAAAATTTCACAAGTGAGCCCATCCTGATATGATCTGTTTCATCTATCACATAGTCACCTAGATTATGTGCATGACTACCATGTCACCACATAATCACCATGATTATGATGAGCATGCATAATCGACCTATGTATATGAGAGTAAAAAGTTAAAAAAACATTCTTATCACTTGGCCATCTGCTTTTGTAAAAAATAAACATAGAAAATACTGTTCTGACCGTGACCTTAACTTTGGCAAGTTAACTGGAAAAATAAAAGGCAGATATCTGGTGTCTGTTGTTGCTGCACAGTATGGTTTGAGCAGGTCTACAGTAGGCTGCAGTTCAATCTTATCTAAGAAAGATACAGTACAATCAAGAAGACTCAAGCAGCTTAAGGAGTAACAAAAATCATATCTGAGAAATAAAGAACATTGAAGAGCTCATAATAGAACCTGAAATTGATCTGACAACAGAAGAACGCCAAGAAAACATATCTCGCCAAGAAACTTGGCGAGATATGTTTTCTTCTGAAAAAAGAGGATTAATGCCGACATCTGCTATTAAACATCTTTTGAAGTGGGATAATGTCAGAACAACAGTCTTAGAATGGCATCCAAACCAAGTTGAGGTTAATAGACTTAGGAATCTCTACAATTACAATGCTATTAATTACTTCAGAAAAATCTTGAAGAAGAGAGAAAAGCAATCGACATTAGACAGATACTTTAACCCCCACAAACAGAAAAATCATGACTAATAAAAATGCAAGACTGTGTATATATGTATTTTTATTATTACATATAAATAAACATAGTAAGAAAGTATATATTTTTTTATTTTTTGAGGTCTCCAGACCAAATTAATCAAATTCCCATAAAAACCTACGGTATATCAATAATTGATTAATGAGCAATTCGGATAGCAAACAAAGTCTTGGAACGGATTATGTTCGTTAACCGATCACCCACTGTATATACTAATGTCAATATTTAAATAATATAGTAATCATGAGTAATTAGAATATATTTATAATTTTTTACCGCCATTCTAATAGCTTTGGTCATGTCACTCCAGGATTTATAATGTGAAGCTTTTGTGCGCAATTTCTCCATAAGGTTTTCCAACGGGTCATCTTTCTCCACGTCTCCGTTAACTTCTGGAACTAAAAAACAAAAAAATTATTTGTCATTATTTTCAGTTTTAACATAATAGCATTTGATCTATTGAACCAATAATTAGCATGCTGAAATCTTTTAAGTATAAGTATGAAATTAATTGTCAGCATACTTTATTTGTTTATGCCGTGCATATATTTGCATGTATAAAAATAAATATATATAAATAAACACACAAAAAATATGACAGTCAAAATTTTGTAGGAAAAATTTAATTCTTTACTACAAAATTTTTAAATTTAAATAAACCATAATTTAGTAAAACTGATGAACACACTCAACACCAAATTAGTACAATTAATAAATAAACACTGTCAGTGTATATTTATTACACATAACTTAATGTTTATTATTTAATAAACGTAAATTTCTGTAAATTTTATATATATTATTTATATTTTGATAGATAATATATAATTTTAATAATATATTATAAATAAAGATAACATATATATTTTCTGATACATATATTTATATCAAAAATAAACCGAACTTTTGATAACAACAGTTGTCATTGCAAACATGTGCATTTGAGCATACAGGTAACCCACGTATAACATGGCACTTCTATAGCACGGATTCACTCTAACACAGTTTGAGAATTGGTACCATCCCCGTATAACACAGTACTGTTATAGCACGGATTCACTCTGACATGGTTCGAGAATTGGGTAAAACCCTCATACAACATGAAATGTAATAAATTTTTACATACTTAAGTAATAATAGTTCATGAAAATTATTATTTTCGTGAATTATTAGTACTTAAGTATGTAAATTTTCTTTTCTCGCCTTCTGTCGATACACATGGTCCTTCTTGAAACTTGTTTCAGTGTTGCCAGATGTTTTTCCCTTATTCCATACTTTCTTTATTCTTCGTAAGTGCTTAGCACCATATAAAGAAAATTATAAAGATCTTTTAACTAGAAGCGAGCAATCTAAAATTACATACTTTTTGCAAAAGGTAAAGCATGGATCTGAAGATAATGTAGAAAAATGCTCATAGGATAAGGATAACTTGCCAAAAAGAAAACACTCAGTTAATAGTGCTTTTAGTGATGATGAAGAAAACATTGTTTAATTTATATTAATATGTATCACTTAAGAAAGTTTTAATAAAGATATTTATCTTAATTATGAAAATATAATAGCATGTTTTTTAATTTTTGGAACCTAACCCTCCTTTTTGTACTAGTTCTTTGTTTTGTGTAACATGGATTCGCATAACACAGCAATTTTTTGGAACGTAACTACCGTGTTATATGGGGGTTACCTGTATTCTTAAACATGGCAGTACTTGTTCAATATGCAGAAGTGTCTCTATTCAGATGGACTAAACACGAAACAGCAAAGTATTACAGAATGTAGCTACGCACTACTGAATTTCTGAACTGATGCAACAAAACAACATTAAATTCAGCATCAAACCTGGTAAAAACTTTACTGAAATATTTAATCTACTTACAGAGTGTAAACTAATGACACCATGTTACATACTTAAGTGTACAAATGATAAGCATTTTAAAGAAGGCCATAAATCAAAAGAGAACCATTCCTATCAACACAGATCAGCTTCAGCAAAAAACATAAATGATTTCCTAAGTTTGCAGAGGATGAAGATAGACTGTGGACAATCAATAAATGATTTGATCACATTTTGGAAATTTTTCATGGCTCTGCACATGACATTCATTATGATGACTTAAATGTGCATCATATTTGTTCTCACTATTCTAAAGAAGTTAACAGATGAGTAATGCAAAGAACATACACTCATCAGTGGAAAATTGATCAATGTCAATAAAGACCCAGATATCTTAAACTGATTACTGGTAGTAAAATCTGGTATTTCTTAATTGACCTCCATTCTCAAAACATTTTACATTACAAACAAATACTCCTCATTTAAAAGATATGTGTTTTCAATGTATTCACCTACCGTTTGGTGGCTGAAAGATGTACTAATGAAACATATATATGCAAATCAACAGCCTACTATTTACCACTATTTAACTACTAAGACTATTGACTACTATTAAACTAATAAGATAGGTGTAAAATGAAAATATGTATTTGGTTGATAAAAACTAGAAAAGAATTAATAATCAGTATTGCTCTGTGTATCAGTGTTGCTCTGTGTAAAAGTATAAAAGTACTGAGATTTCAGTTTATGTCCTTTGAATAATATTTTAATAAGACAGTAACCTGATGTGTTACCGGCCAAACCTGATTTCAGGCCAAACTAGTTTATCCTACGCTTGCCAAGATATACTAATTTAGCCTAGGACAATCTAGTTTGGCCTAAATACTTCAGGCTTAACTAGTTTGTCCTAGGCCAAACTGATTTATGTACTACAAATAGGTGCCAGTGTAAAAAAAAATGATTTTGTGTAATTCGAAATGCCACCACAGTACACCCAGTGGTTAAAGTGTACCTAGGTAACCCCAATGGCGATGCTTCAGTTAGGTTAACTACATTTTTAGTAGACATTTCTTTTTTTTTTCTTTTGTTCAAGAATTACCATGAATCAATAACTAGTGACGTTAAACAATGGGCGGCCTGCCAGCGGCTCCCCTCCGGGAGGAGTCCAGCGGGACCACGAACAGTCCGAAGTGCCGCCATTGAGGTTACCTAGGAACACTTAACCCACCCTGTAAAAATAAATAAAAGATTAAATATTTTATATGTTACACTAAGAAACACAAACAAGTTAATTTTTAATTTTAGTTTGACTTTAAAAGTTATTTTTATTATTTCGTTTGAATTTTTGAAAATATTTTTGATTGTTAATTACCTTTAAAAGTGCATGGCTTAATAAAAAAAATACAAACTGATAAGTACTGATTAGCTTATTTTTATTTTATAGTTTTGTACAAGTGTTGTGTTACTTCTAATCAATACCATTTTTTATAATTAAGTAGACTATGTTTGAATAAATATTGTTCATCTAATTGATTGCCTTTTAATTTTATTTTAACCATTAATATACTTAAATCAACCTGGCCAACCCGCGGGCCATATGCTATGCAGCCCATCACATTAAATTGTGTGGCCCACTAAGCGATATTATATATCTATTAAAACTTTCGTTTTCCATTTTGTGTATACCAAAACAATTAAATAAATGAAAATTTGCATGTGTCATTGTTATAATGTGCAAGTGTGAGTATGAACTCTTGGTATAACAATGAAATTTTATTCATTTTGTATCTGTTTTACTTTTTTAAAAGCATGTTTGCCTAAATTGTGGCCCATTATAATGTTACACGTGATCAAAGTGGCCCGCAAAAAAATTTAGATTGGCCAGGCCTGACTTAAATAATAATTCTAAATCAGTTCGACCTAGGACAAACTAGTTAAGCCTAAAGTATTTAGGCCAAACTAGATTGTCCTAGGCTAAACTAGCATATCCTGACACGCATAGGACAAACTAGTTTGGCCTGAAATCGGGTTTGGCCACTAACATATATAAATAGTAAAGTAGTAATAATATATTTACATCTTCCTGATTTCTCAGAATTAGATACAATTACATTCAAATTTTTTCAATATTAATTCAATGTCACAATGAATTTAAGGAAGACATTTGTAAGCATAATGCTGCTATGGTAATGACTTTTTTTATTTTGCTCTTTAATCTCACAATATACTGTGTTTTGTATTTAAAGCCTTTCATCTACATTTGATGCTCATTTAAAATCTCCAATATATTTAATTATACTATATTACTAACACTTACTATATGTGTCTCATAAATTTCTCATCAAACATGCTGAAAATACAAAATGCATTCTACAGGTCTTTGAAAATGTGAATAGGTTTACTTTGTTACTATTAATATTTATATGAGTACACAATTTGCACTCATAGCACAATTCATCAAAAAAGTATCTTCAAAATGATAGCAGAAATTTCTATTTGTGAAGAATTTTTTTTAAAGAAATTTCTTAAAATTAGAATAAAACATTAGTTGAGTTGAACTACAGCATCCCTTGATTTCAACAATTAACATATTAAAACAACAGATTTTTTTATTGTTATTTATATTTAAAATATAGTTAGTTAATAAATTAATTAAAACTTAATGTAAATAACATTATGTAAAATGTGAATTGAAACCAAAATTACAATAAAACAGAAATTTACAAGACAACTAATTCAACAAAAATAGCTAAAATAAAATAATGAAATGTGTAATATGATATAAATTAGTTTAAACTAAATTCATTAACATTCCTCTGAAATAACTTTGTAAAATTTTTCCACTTTTACAGCAATGTACAATAGTCACAGAAACATTAAATCACAATTTTGATTCCTATTTTGCAGGAAATAAATTCTCGTGAACAGTGGGATGCATCTAGAGGGCCTATATATACAGTATTCTCCAACAGAAATGTGCCATAGGAGATTGTGGGGAGAAACTTATAGGCAAAGCATTAGAACAAGTACAGTAAGACGTAACTTAATGCTGATTTGATATAACACGGTCTGCTCAAAGCCTAAAAAAGGCTCAAAATTTACACTGATTTAAATTATCATGGCATTTCATTGATTTGTACATAATACGATTATTTGCGAACACAAACCAATCATAAAAGGTAGCAAAAAGGTGTACTTTCTTTAAATCTATGTTTGTTTGGTGCTATTTTGGAAAAAATATATCATCATCATGGATGCCATAGGAAATATCGATTTTGCTTGGCAAGAATTAACTGATAAATGCACATAGTATGGAAGAAGTTATGGCTGAAGGTATCCAAGAATTCTCAATGAGAAGAGCCTATCACTGTATCATTAGGTTGACCAAGCTAAACCTAATCAATATAGCAGGACTAGGAGATATAGACAAGCAGGATATTGAGGAGTTACTGTAGGTTTCTGGTGAGAGCCTTACCAACGATGATCTTCAAGAACTGGCAGAACAAGGAATCCATGTAGAACTGGAAAATGGTTATTCTGAAAATGAAGAACCCAAAAAATTTC